ACTTGACTTGCAGCTGAGTGTCGCCTTTATATAGCAGTCGGCTGCTCGCAGACGAAAGCGTAGAAGCATCGAATTGTTCGCTATGGAAGGTTCTTGTTTTATCGTTTCTAGAACGTACTAGTTATCGGCTTCTCTCTTTCATCTGACATTCGCCTCGCATTTTCGCAACAATAATATTGCATCATGATTTCAATACTTGTGACAAATTTTGCAAACTGCAAATGTAAACAAAAATCAGCTGTTTGTGTTATTCACTTTCGGTGGAAACGTATGACATTACATCCACTTAACAGAGGCCTCAAATGCGTTTCAGTGCTCGGTGGAAATAGACTATAAAAAATATTTACGCCGTAAATTCTTATTAAAACTATAAATTTTGAAGACATAAACAAAAAACATTAGCTGAAGATGAGGCAATGCTATCTGACTGTCGCTTTGATTGACAGTCGCAATCCTTAGGTGGAAATTTATAGAGAAGGCGCATTCGGGAAGTCCCAGGTAAACCTATGAGAATCCCATGCAGTGCATTGTGATTCTACTATTATTAGATTTGTTTAAATTTTTATTACCAATATTTATTTGTTTTAAATTTGTTTGAAGCCTCGGGGTTAAAAACCTGGTGTCGTACTAACATCCAAAAAATTGGATAAAATTAATTTTAATTTTTTATTAAGTTAAATTTTCTATTGCGGTCGTCCCTTGGCAGGAATGTGAACACCTCCGAGTGTGAAATAAAGCTCCTCAAAAAACCATCAGCCGTTCAGAGGCGGCTTAGTATAAACTCTAGGTCCCTTCATTAGTTGGAAAAACATCAAGACACAAAAATCACAAATTGGAGGATGAGCTGGGCCGAAACTTGCTTCAGCGGTTATAAGGCGCCAATTATATAAAATCAGATTTCGATTTTAGCTAGGCAGAGAACCAGAGGACTTTATAAGTTTGTATTTTGTTATAAATCTCTGTTGTGTTAGCTCTCTGACGCTAGTTGGCAGATGAAAAGGAGTTGTAGCTACCTGTCGCTGGGCAGCGCACAGATGTATTCGAGGGCGCCTAAAATCACTCTTTTTTTTATTTCAACTTTTTCGCCACCCTGTGTGAATAGATCGTAAAAGCATTTTAACGCGTATAATAAGAGAACGTAGAAGAAAGTAGAGCGTATATGTATATCGTAAGTGTGTATGTACGATATTTTACAGTTGCATTTAATTAAAGCGCCTATTTGGTGGCCACAATAGCTGAGTGGTTAGCATTGCGTACTACCATTCAGTAGGTCAGGGTTCGACTCCTGGTCCGACCAATATACCAGTGATTTCAATTGATTCAAAATTTTTGCCTGCAATGTTTGTATTTGTGAGTAAGCTCTTTCGGTCTTAATAGAAAAATATTTATATATTTTAAAATTGGTCCGCATAACGATTTTGTTTTGCATTTTCTTTTTGCCCGGGTAGGTAAAACAACTTTATGGGTTTTGGGTAATACGCAAATAGAGAACGAAATCAACTATTTGAATGTGAACTTGGTGTGCGCCTTTTTCTTCCTCTTCATTGGCGATTATAGACGAATCAACAACAGTGCGATATTTATTCCTTCTCTTCGTTATTTGGCGGCAGTGTGAAGCCAGGTCGCTCTTCTTCCACTAGCGGGTCCTGTATCGAATACTTTTAAAGCTGGAGTATTCCTGATTCACTGAACTATTCCAATGTCATCGTATAAAGCGTTCAGCTCATCGTTCCCACGTCTGCGATATTCGCCCTTGTCATGTCGTCATGGAAGCTGAGCTTTCCGACTGTTGTGCCAAAAACACTTTCTTTGCTCATCTTGGCGTTAAAGTCGCCGAGCGCAATTTTGTCACCATGACGGGGCATTGTTCAGAGAAAGCGTCTTTCGTCACATGGGAAGTTCTCTTCAGCTGAGAAGCGACACCTTACCAATGAAGAGACCGAACAAACAAAATTTAAATTATAGAGGGAAGAATTTTTAGAGACTTTATTGTTGGAATGTCTAACCACATGCCACTCCAGAGAAAGGATCTGCTGTCCAAATTAGTTTAACAAATAGTAAAATAATAAAAAGTGCTAAGGTGCGTAACTATGAATGTACGAGTAAGTAAGTTTGTGCAAACACAGTAGCACTATCGGTGCGGCCAATCGAAGTAGTGAGTCGAGGAAGGTGGGCGTTTGGCGCTAGAGCACCACGAATTCGACGCAAATAAATTTGTGCTTTCTTTTGAGAAGCTTTATATGTAAATGTAAATTCTCACAAACAACATTATGTGCGGCAATAAAATAGAATTTATGGCCTCTACTGTTGACATTCATTTTATGAGCGAAAACAAACTCACAAACTCACAAACAAACAAACAAACAAGTAGACTTGCATACGCTTATAGAGAGTAGCCAATTCGTGTTGCACGTTTGATTGAAAAAAATAATAATAATAATAACAATACTAACAACAA